ACCTATTACTGATATGGTTTTATTAGTTCCCTATCTACCCTGTGTGTATGTGTGTTTGTGCGCCCTTGCTACTATTTTGTAGCGGATCCAGTATGCCTTGTATGAAATAAAACTGTCGCTTTTGTTGAGAGTGGTAATTTGAAGTGACACTAAGAAACAACTCATCAGCAATTTCACAAAAATTTTCCTCTTGGCAGTAAGGCTCGTAAAGAAAAACTTCAATCTCAGTTCTCACAAAAAAAGCACAAAATTACTAGTTTGTTGTATAAGCGAGCAAGAAAAATCCACAGAAGCAGTGATACGTGTGTGCTGGACGCTTAATAAACAGCAGAAATCATTTTCAGATTCTGAGATGGTGAAAAAATGTATGTTATAAGTAGTCACGGCACTTTTAGAAGAGAAAAAATGTAGCTGCATTTCAAAGTATTTCATTAACAGCGAGAAGTAAAAAAACGGAAATTTTTACTGCTGATATTAAAAACACTCTTCTTGAACTTCTGTAAAAGGCACCTTGCTACGACATTGCACTTGATGAATCATGTGACGTTGTGGATGATGAACAAATGTCTATTTTCGTAAGATTTCTTGATATTGAGTGTCAGATTTTTAGGGTAGAGTTGCCGTTGAAAGGTTACACTCGAGGAGAAGATTTATTCAAGGTCATTGATGAATTTATTATTAAATCTAACATTAGTTACGATGAAATGGTGTCGCTTTCAACTGATGGGGCCCCATCAATGATTGGCAAAGAAAAAGGTGTAGTAAAGAGAATCAAAGATAAAAACTAAGGTCTAATATCGTATCAGTGCATAATTCACCAGACAAACCTTTGTGGAAAACTTAGTGCTACACTGAAAGAAGTGATGGACAGTTTGATCAAGTTGATTAATTTTATGAGATCTCATTCTGCTCTTCAGCACCGACATTTCAAGGAGTATCTTTTTGACAGCGTATTCTTACTTGACTGCAACATGACCAAATGTTCGTTGGCTAAGTAAAGGTGAAGTTATTGAAAGTTCCTGACTGATAAAAGAAGAAGTAACCTCCTTCTTGCAAAACTTAAATACGGAGGGATTCAGAAAGCACAAACAAGCGTAATAAGCTGGTCGTGGCTCTTTTAAAAGATATTTTGAAATATTCAAATCTCTCAACACAACTCTCACAAGGAAATGGAAAATTAATATGTGATCTGATACAAAACGTGTCCAAGACTTTGCAGAGATGGGCAAGCTATCTTCGTTTCTTAAATCGTCATTTGAAGTTGATGTAGCAGCAGAATGGACAGATGTGGCTGACAAAGGCATCACTTCAAATAGAGATAATTGTTTTGCAAAACGGTATCCATTGAAGAATTTTTGGACCAAACATGTACCAGAATGATGTGTGAAAAATCTTCCTCAAAGAATAATTTTTTGAAAAACAAATATCGTTCCAGATTAACGGACGCCCACCTAGAAGACACACTTCGAATTTGCTGTTCCTCTCGAGAGCCAAACTATAAAAAACTGGCTCAAGACCGTCGGTGTGATTTCTCACATTAATTTTAGGTCTTGTGTTTTATAATTCAGAATTTGATTTGAAACCAAAATGATATATAGGTAGCACTAAATTTTTATCAGTTGTTTTTTCTTGACCTTCCTACAGTTCTCGGACCCCACCTAAAACTACTTGCCTGATTCAGTATATCTAAATTCTATTGACATTTCTCCATAATTCCATCCCGTTTTCGAGGCATCTGGAAAAAACAAAAATAATGAAATGGGGTAATGGGAGCCATTCGACTCCAATAACCTCAAATACTCATTTTAAAGTTTTCATATAATTCACAAAATACAAAATGGTTAAGGCTTTCGCGTCCGAGGTTTCCAGTATCACTTTTCCGGGTTGGAAGGCCGTGGATTTTTTGGTATTTCTTCCTGGCGTTTCTCTGGCGGGAGGAAGCTGGCCACTCGCGCCAGCGAAACGTCGGGAATAAATTCCAAAAATCCACGGCCTTCAATATCGGAAAATAGTCACAAAATACAATACGTTATTTACATAAATTGATCTTTTCATCTAATTTTATATTGATAAATTTACGACATGCAATACTTACAATACGAAAATTTTATTTCTCACAATTTGCTGGAGAATAAATCAATTTGAAAAACCGTCCTTAAGAAATTTATTCCACATAAACGCAGTTCTCCAGATGAAAGAGTTCTTGAACAGTGAAGTTTGAGGGGTACTGAGTTGAACCTTAAAACGATGAGCAGCCACAGTACGTCGCGTACTTCTGATATGTACCGCTCTTGGTGGAATCAAATGTGCCAAGTCACTTGAACACCTCCCGTGATAGTATCTAAAGAAGAGAGACAAATCTCCAACCTTCTTCGATGTTTCCGGCTATCAAGGTTGCACGTGATGTTCGCGTCTCCAATCAGGCAGATGTCTCTTTGCTGGGTGGAATCCAGCAACTTCAGAGTATGTTTGGGGGCAGAGCTCCATACATGAAAATAATACTCTAAAGAAGGTCTGATCTTAGCTTTATAAAGCATCAACAGTTGCTGAAGTGTGTACAGTTTTCTGGTTCGGAACAGTGTTCCAAGCTTTTGAGAAGCATTTTTTACAATTCCAGGGACATAATTGTGCCAAGACATATTGGTGTCCATTTTGACCCCCAACAAACTTATCGAAACAGAAACCGGAATTGTTTGATCTGAGATTATTATATCTGTTTCAGAGACATTTATATTCTTGGAGAAAACCGATGCCCAATTCGATGCGTTGCTTAGTAAATTAAAGTGTTCAATTGTGGTAAATAAAGAGAGTGAGAACTGCATGACATTGCTCAAATTTTCTAAAATATTGAAAAACTCGAATTATCCATATAATTTGTATATCACGGGTCTAAAACTTGCAGAAAAATACAAGGTCATTTACATTTCTTTCATAATTTGAAAATTGTGAGTACCTCAAGTCAGACAACATTCTGAATAAAAATTATATGATAAGACTCTGATAGCCCATGGAAAGTTTGAACAGATTTCAAATATTTCTACCAATAAAGAAGATACACCAAAAAAATGAATTTTTAAGTCTTTGGTTTCTCCCGTTTATCAATGGAACTATAGTCAATTTTTCGGCATCGAAAGGTACCTGAAAATATTCAACTTTGCCATAATTCAATCTGGTCTCATGCATAGATTCTAATTTGAATCGACCTGTATAAGCCGGTTAGCACATGGAGTTCAAAGAGATTACCATCGAAATTGGGGATGCTCCATTTATAGAGAAAATACTGAGGTATTTCCGCTTTCTATATGAAATTTCGGGTACCAGTACAACACCGAAAACCAACCCTTCAGGAATCGGCTAATTTATCAGTGTAATTCTATGATGACAAGGTTGAACATATCATCGAACAAAGAAGATTACACAAATATTGTCACCAATATCAGAATCAAGTTTCACTATAGTAAAGACAATTAGTGAGCAAATTCTATTGCATTTCAAAAATTTATTAATTTTTAGTGCCCCGTGCATTTTCAGTTTTGGTTATTGATGGAATTACTAGAAATGTATTCTTTCATTTCATGTGGACACATCAGCACCGTTTTAGAGATAAAACCAATCAATCATAATCAATCTATGAATTTATTCAATTCAGATACATATTCTTGTGTATAATAGATATTACTATATCTTTAGTGATAATTGCAGTAAATTAAAAAAATAAGTAAATAACAATAAATAAGTGGTGGTGTTCAGTTTTTGGGAAACACTCTTTTGTTTCAACAATACGTCTCTATCACCGGAAGAGTGATGTGTCATTCACACATCTTCAAGAAGAGTTTTCATTATAATTGTTTTCTTTCTCTCTCTCTTGATTTTTTATTAAATGATGGAGAAGTAGAAAGAAAACGTTCATCCAATAAAAATAATCTTTCCCTTTTCAATTTAAATAAAATTGCTGTAAGTGTCTGCAATCTTATTGTAGTAATTTCCTTAATTCCTTTTTTTGTAAAATTCCCTCATTTTTTGGTTAATGACGGAGAAATTGAAAGCCAAAAAAGTTTTTTTTTCATAACGAACTAATCTGTTAGGTAAATATTTCCTTTTCAATATATTTCCATTTCTTATTTTGTAGTAAAGAGAATCAAAGATAAAAACTAAGGTCTAATATCGTATCAGTGCATAATTCACCAGACAAACCTTTGTGGAAAACTTAGTGCTACACAACGTCTGAAGAAGCTATTATTACGTTTTTGTAAATGAACTATTTCTTGAATACATTATGGATTCTCATCAAATATCGGCCAACTCCATCACGTGATACTAAGGCACGTTATCATGGATATCTGATGAAAAATATCACTTTCTCATTGTCACTTCTAATGCTATGCAGGACGTGCTAACAGATTTTTATTTCGACGTTTACTCTTCAGCAACTTAATTTTTTATATCAATCGGAAAAAAGGATCACCCATTATAACTTAACTTTTTGCGACAACTCCACTGACGTATTACTACAATCGTTAGTAGACAGTAGACAGTAAGTAGACTTTAAAACGTTATTCAAGTAATCTTTAAAATGGTAACTTTTTATAAATTTAGCCCACTGTGTATCTCTTACAGTTTCTGAAATTTCCATGCTACTCCTCCTCATGAAATCAGTTTGTATGACAAAAATCTATACTATCGAAGCTTGCAAAATCCATTTTTTTTATCAAAATTGTAATATGAATAACTTTAACAGGTATAGAACATTCAAACTTCTAGTTCACACTGATAAGTCATAGCGAAAATACAAAAAATGAATATATTCTATTCGGTAGAAACCTTGTCATATTATCAATACAAAAATAAGCATATTGAAAATAAAAATTTTTTGAATAGAATACTTTCTTATGCAATTTTTTTTTTGGTTTTCTATTAGGAATTAAAGAAATAACGTTGCGTTTGTTGCTTTTTTGTAAAACTGTGTTTTTCGAATACTTTCGTATTATGTCAAATACAAATAACACAGTTTGTTTTTTTTATTACGTCATATAGAAGAATTCAAAGTAATATTCACATAATATATAATATTATAATTATTCACATAGAAAGTGAAGATGAACTATTCTATCTCCGTTATTTTCAACCTAGTGTTTTTCAATTCACTACCATACCGTTCTCTCATTCTACTGGACAGCTCTTGCGCTGTGCAGTTATTAGGATCTTTTCGTATAACAAACTCCACACTTTCCAGGGCTTCTTCGAACCTTTGTAGCTTCTCGAGTGCCTCAGCTTTCCTCAAACGTGCCTTCAAATTGTTTTTTTCCAAATTCAGCACTCTCTCACAGTCTTCCAGAGCTTCTTGGTATTTCTTAAGTTTCAAGAAAGTTGCAGCTCTGTTGTTAAGATTGTTCACGTTAGCCTTGATTTTTATGCTGTTGGTATAACACTGTAGAGCATCGACATAATCACCAGTTTTGAAAAACTCGTTACCTTTCTCCTTCTCTCTGTTCGAATAGAAAATGGCTTCAGCTTCGGTAGTAAAATAGTTGAAAGTAACAGTCTTCTTAGGTTTGACCTGATCTTTTGGCTTCGATACCGACTTTCTATTTTTTTCTTCTTCCAACTCCATTTTTAATAGCTCTGTATCTGGATCGTACTTATCCCAAGCTCCGTAATCCGTAGAAGCAATCCTTTTTTGTGATACTTTGCTGGATTCATCAGCATTTTTGAACTCCTTGAAACATCTTACATCTACTTCATGGTAACTTTTGTTACTTTTTCTGCTCTCAAGTTCTCTGTCAGTCTTTGAAACCTGCAGCACAAACTCATTCAAGTCCTCAGATATTTCTTCAAGTTCATCTTTTCTCAGATCTTGTTTTTCAAGAACCCGCACTACTTTTTTCAACAATTTACTTTTCGGTTTCACTGTAGATAAGCGCCTTTCTGTGGTATTGATCAGATCTGGATAATGCCCTTCTTCACCTGATCGAAGAACCAAAAGTATCTTCTCTAATTCTTTTCCATCATTGCATTTTTCTATAAAATCATATTCGAAGTGTTGGATAGGAATTTTATACTTCGAAAGTAAGGTTTCTTTCTCGAATTGTGTATTGGAATTTACCTGAAAATCGTTGGATGGGGTCATTCTACAAAATTCAGCTACTATAATGTTGAAATTGATAGGTACACTATTTTCGAAATACTATGGCAACACTTCTGACATTTGTATTGATCAAATCCTTCGAATCGCGCATTATGCATACATAGTCGCTTCAAACTAGGAATGTGACAAATAACACTGTTTATCATATACCGGGTGACAACGAAATCATTGTACACGGCGCCATTCAGTTGTGTATGAGGTAAAAATTTCATATTCGTAAAGAAGGTATAGACCATTGGAACCAACATTTCTGCCGATGAAACAATTGAAAATCTATACCGATTCAATCAAAAATGAACTCAAGACAAAAGTTTCGAATAAAACTCTGTGAATTTTCAAACCAATTGATATGATATAAAACTGAAAATAATGGCGTAAAAGCTATCAATCAATCAAATATACTTTATTGTCTGAAGAACTACATCTTATAGACAAAGTCATAAATAATAAGATACAGAAATCTACATAAAAAAACATAAACAGTTAAAACAAAATACAATAAACATAAGCTAAAAATGTGAAATACACTGAGATATTCAGCTGGAAATAACAAGACAGAAATAAAAGTTAAGATTCAAGTGATCGTCAAGATACTCCTGAACTGAATAATAGGCCTTATCAACAAGTAGCATTTTAACTGCTTTTTTGAATTTGTCAAGCACTATAATTTCTTTAATTCGGGCTGGTAAGTGGTTAAACAGTTTGATCCCGTTGAACATAATTGAATCCCTAACAAGGGAGCTCGCAGGAATAGGCAGATCTATGTTACTATTGTGGCTACGAGTATTATATGAGGAAGGGGGAGATGCACAAGAATAATTTTTTTATCAAGCAAATTGATTCCAAGATAAACAGGGCAGCTACTGTTAAAATACCGTGCGCTATGAAAAGAGGCTTGCATGGATCCCTGGGAGCTGCTTTGCACATATATCGGACAGCCCTTTTTTGAAGCACAAAAATCATTTGAAATAAATCTCTAGAACAGACTCCCCAGAAGGCAATTCCATATTTAATATGGGGATCTATTAAAGCGAAATAAGCTGTTCTTGAATGGGAGTAGCCTAGTTCTCTAGAAATCACTCTTAGTGCATAGCAACCTGAGGCAAGCTTCTTGCTTAAGTTTATTGTGTGATTTTTAAATTTGAGTTTATCATCAATGTACAACCCTAGAAATTTATAATTATGTACCCTGTCTAAGATTTCGTCACCAAGGCAGATCTCAGGTAAGTTGCAGTGGAAGGTAAGTATGCTAGCTATTTTTTCAAAATTCAAATAGTCTATAAAAATATACAGGGTTCTATTTGTATTTTGACTTGGATTCATTATCGGATAAACCGGTATACATTTTCAACTGTTTCATCAGCACTAACATCGGTTTTAATGAACTATAACTTCGGACCAAGGGTCAAATTTTTATCCCATAAACAACTGAATGGCGCGATATAGAATGAATTCACTCGGTACAGTACATTAAAATGAAATGTTCCCATCCTCAGTATTTCACGTTAGGTTGCGTTTTAGTGAAATTCAGAAAAAAATCAATTTTAGTTTCGAAGAAGGTTCCCTTTCACAACACAACTGGATTGGTGAACTCCTGACAACAATAAAACATTTATAATTATCTATTGGAGAATGATCAATTTGATCGTTGATCCATTGATCCACATTGAATAAAATAAAATGATATAAATAATCGATCCAAAGCATTTGGTTTCGAAGAAGGTTCCCTTTCACAATACAACTGGATTGGTGAATTCCTGACAACAATAACACATTTATAATTATCTATTTGAGAATGATCAGTTTGATCGTTGATCCATTGACCCACATAGAATAAAATGAAATGATATAAATAATCGATCCAAAGCATTGTTGGAAGAAATATCTTTTACTTTTCATGTTACTCTTGTCTTTTCAGGTAGATTTGAATGTCAAATATGCTCGAAGGTTTGACACCATTGTCCGGGTTGAATCGCGTCTGTAACTTTCATCTGTCCGACATTTCGTTTTCTGCTTCGAAGCCATTTTCAAGAACCACATCTCTAGACTACCTTGCCTATGACATAGATAAGATCAATTCAACATATCTCTTACATGAAAATTGAATGAAATGGATGAAAATTGAAATACTTGTAATGCACTGTTTGGAACCTTTGGTGTAGTAATGAAGTTTACAGGAGTTTCTTTCCAACACCAAACCGTTATTTTAACACCTCGACACGTGTTTCGATCAATCACCAAGTGATGATCTTCAAGAGGAAGATCTTCCTGTTGAAGATGAGTACACAACAAGTGATCTCCTGAGTACACACATAAGTGATCATCTGCAAGAGGAAGATCTTCCTCTTGAAGATGAGTACAAAACAAGTGATCTCCTGAGTACACACATAAGTAATCATCTTCAAGAGGAAGATCTTCCTCCTCTTTCTTTCAGTTTTCAGTTACTTCTTTGCATGATCTACACATTCATGTATAGAGTTTCAAATTGATTACTTCCTTCCTTTCTTTGGAAGATTTTCTCATCCCCTTTTTTGTATCAGATGGAGTAGTAGAAAGCCAAAAACTTTCTTTCCCAAAAAATTAATCACTCCTAAAAATATAACCCCTTCAATTCATTGTAATCTCTCAAACCCAACTCAACACGGATATATTAAAGGAAGATCAATTGACACAGTAAGCATATAGTTTATTGAAAACATTATCGAGTCATTTGAAAATAGCGAAATACTTCTTGGAATACTCTTAGACCTTTCTAAAGCATTTGACTGTCTTAATCACAGGTATTTATTGGAAAAACTTGAAAAATATGGCTTGAGAGGGACTATTTTGAAATGATTCGAGTCATATTTATCAAATCGTCAACAAAGAACGATAGTTATAAAAAATGAACAGATATTTAAGTCTGATATCAGGATTTTCATACTGCAAAATTATTCGGTTACTCGGAATCTGAAATACAGGGGATATTTTGAACAAATTGCTGAGATGCAGATATATCAAAAATTGAACAGTCAACTTAAAGTGGTGACTGACTCTCTTACATCAAAGAATTGGCGTAATGAAAACGGATTAACTTTACCAAAAGTCTCAATATGCCGAAGTAGAGAAGGATTAGATCATTTACATGAGTCATTTAGGTTTTAGTAATAAGACAAACTATTCTAAATTAGATTGGGTATTTCGTGAAGAAGGAATTTGTGAAAAATCATTCAGCTTCATGTAGCAATGATAAAGATGTATATTTTCTGATGAAAGAAGCTGACGAAATTAACGAACCACCTGTTAGTGAAAAGATTTTCAATTCGAGAATGTTTTTATAATTTGGCTGAGTTTTTTCTTTTTTAATTTATGACGATTGTAAATGTATTTTTACGATTGATACTTTTTTACTTATGATCTGTTGTTACTTATGATCTTGTTTATGTATCCTTATTTTATTAATAATTTACATGTATTAATTTATGTACACATATATGTACATTTATAGTGCGTGTGCTCATGATTTTATGTGTGAAATTTGACGATTCCTATACATGTATATGTATAATGGAAAATAAAGTTTATTATTATATTATTATTATTATAGTGGCACTCTCTCGTTTCTTCTACAGTAAATATAGACAAGAGGCGATTTTCTCTTTCTCAAATATAAAAATTTCAGGATTTACTTCATTAACACATCAAAATGTTCAAGTTCATTTATGAATAATTGATGGTGAAAATACTAGGTACTCCGAAATAATATGGCACTGTCCTCTCGAATAGATAATTGAATTACAATGAGAATTCGTTTTGCAATCCTATGCAATAACTGGACTATTACGAGATTGTGTTAAATCTAACTGCACTTGTGAGATACAAAGAGATAATAAAAATTAAAAGTTTAGCAATAGCAGGTGCAGCCTGTAATGTTAGATGGGCCCGTTCTCGACTCATTCTACAAGCGCATTTAGTGTTTCAGAGGTGTATTATGTTCCGACCCGGTATGACCTTGGTAGGTTGCTTGATGCAATAATCGGTGTAATGTTAAAATGAATATAAGATCCGTAATGAATTTTTTGAAAAATACTGAACAGAGACTATGAGATATAAGTGAATAAATGTGCGTGTACACTGTACTATTATTACCGGAAATCACAAATTCTTAACCTCAACCGTCTTCAGAGCAATATAGAGTGACATACAAGATGGAGTAGTAGAAAGCCAAAAACTTTCTTTCCCAAAAATTATTCACTCCTAAAAATATAATCCCTTCAATTCAGTTTGTTATAGTTTCTGAAAACTTTCAATGATTCCAGTATTGTGGTCGAAACTAAAAACTTAGTGTAAAATTAATTTTAAAAATGTCTCCCTTCCCATAAGGGTCTTAGAAAGATAGAGTTTCAGAATTGATTCGTAACTACTGAAAATTTACAAATCGTGCATAAGTGTTCACCTTGACTGAAATATTATGAAAATTATATTGACAAAAGTCAAATAATTAATGTATAATCTGAATTATACCTTTCATGAGTTCATTATAAATGTATTTCTCAAGAAAAGTGGAGAGTTGTCACGCATCAAAATTCATATATTCCATGGAAGAGGCAATTGAGAATACTTTAATGTTGAAATTATGTGATCAAGTTCATGATTTATGAATAATTCATACTATTATCAATAATTTGACATTGCCTTTAAGTATCAATTTGAATGAATGAGTGCGTTAAAAATTTATAGAAGAAACCAAGTTGTTACGAAAGAAAAGTAAGCTTTCTGAATATTATACTTCAATTAATGAAACACGACTATTTTGGGAATGACGGATCTGTGTGAAAGGTATCTTCAAAGTTTTTTGGCCGTGGTTAGGAGGTTTTTATACCTCACGTTTAGTCTACTACTGCAGTATACATTACCAAAGGCGATGTGGTAATGGTCGTAGTGCCTGAGTTGGTGCCCCGTCGTTCCGAACGCAACGTTAGGCATAAAAACCTCCAGACCACGGCCTTAAAATGGTCACACAGTTATCTCCGGCCGTGAAAGTTTACA